TACATAAGCACCACTGTTGGCCTAACAACAATATACATGTGTACATAAACACCACTGTTGGCCTAACAACAATATACATGTGTACATAACACCACTGTTGGCCTAACAACAATATACAACTGAAGTTGTATATATGGTCCACCTCCAACGGTTGAACGAGAGTGTGCCGTTATACGGTGTACGGCTTACAAAAATTCCATGCGTGTTTAGAGCAGCTGCAGTCAGTGGGTTAATAAACATATTTTAAAGATAAACCTGAAACTTATTTTACATTTTAAACTCTAATAGATTTAACATGGTTTATGAAATTTCAATTTTGTTCTTCAAATTCGAATGTGTGATATAATTGAAGAAATGTTAAGAATATTCAAATTACAATGCATGTCAGTAAAGTTTATTCAAGTGATAAAGCTAACAGATGCTAGGAAAGCTCTACAAGTTCCATGCAGAAAGATGCTGTCTCCCTATTCTGGTCACTCTTGTCCAGATTATTTTGAAGTTAAAGCCATCCCTTATCTCTTCATACTTCCACTGCTGATATGCTTGTTCCTCTCTGTGTTGATGTTGTCTTTGTCTGTAACTTCTACTAAAGCTTTGGAAAAGAATCACACTTTAATTCATAGGTTTTTTTTTCAGATAACTTGAGAATGACTGGTCAATATTTCAATGCCAAGGTGGTGCATTTATTGAGTTAATCTTATCACAAATGATTTTACTTTAGTACTTGTTGTTTTTGAGATATAAATGAAGTGAAGAATTTATAGAACAAATTTAAAAAGTTTGTACTTTGGACACGTGTGTGTATTTATATATGTATATATATAGAGAGTTTAATTCGTATTTCTAGAACTGAGAACTGTGATACTTTCAGTTTTCAGCATTATTAGTTTTATATATATATATAAATCAATAAATACAATACTATGCAATACATTAATTGTTCTTAGGCGATTAAAATCAGCACTATAAAACAATAGTGAATTTAATATAAACCAAGAAAAGCACAATATAATTGAAATTCAAAAACATGCCTTCGCTACCATTCCTTACTGTCAGCCCTGCATGGTCAAGTGGTTAGGGTGCTTGACTCACAATCTGTGGGTTCGAATCCCCGTCCTAAAAAAACACCCCCCCTTTCAGCTGTGGGGGCATTATAATGTTATGATCAACCCCACTATTCATTGGTAAAATGGTAGCACAAGAGTTGGCAGTGGATGGTGATGACTATCTTCCTTCCCTCTAGTTTTACAATGCTAAATTAGGGACGGCTAGTGCAGATAGCCCTCGTGTAGCTTTGCGAGAAATTCAAAACAAGCAAACAATCCTTTCTGTTATCCTTAAGTCATAAAGGATAATGCCTGTGGTCCTAGTACCCAATGCATTTGGGATGTTCCATCTATCAGGCAAAACCTAAATGCTGATGAAGAACTTGCCAGCAACTAAGGTGAATCAGTTATGGTAGTGTAGATTAAGGGTTAAGAGTTGAGTGCTTGAACCCACAATGTCTCATCTCCAACTGCAGTAGTGTAGATTAAGGGTTATGAGTTGAGTGCTTGAACCCACAATGTCTCATCTCCAACTGCAGTAGTGTAGATTAAGGGTTATGAGTTGAGTGCTTGAACCCACAATGTCTCATCTCCAACTGCAGTAGTGTAGATTAAGGGTTATGAGTTGAGTGCTTGAACCCACAATGTCTCATCTCCAAC